CCTCGCTGATGTTGGCTACGACGATATCGGCGGTGTGCGCAAGCAGATGGCGCAGATTCGTGAGCTCGTCGAGCTGCCGCTCCGCCACCCTCAACTCTTTAAGTCCATCGGTATCAAGCCTCCGCGTGGTATCCTCATGTTCGGCCCGCCCGGTACGGGTAAGACGCTCATGGCGCGCGCTGTTGCGAACGAGACCGGCGCGTTCTTCTTCCTCATCAACGGTCCGGAGATCATGAGCAAGATGGCTGGAGAGTCTGAGAGTAACTTGCGCAAGGCTTTCGAGGAGGCGGAGAAGAACTCGCCGGCAATCATCTTCATTGATGAAATCGACTCTATTGCACCGAAGCGTGAGAAGGTACGCACCAATCGTATGAATGGGTGCAAACTCAATCTAATCTTGCGTGTATAGACGAATGGAGAAGTCGAGCGCCGTGTTGTATCGCAGCTGCTCACTCTCATGGACGGTCTCAAGGCCCGCTCGAACGTCGTCGTCATGGCCGCGACCAACCGCCCGAACTCTATCGACCCCGCCCTGCGCCGCTTCGGTCGCTTTGATCGTGAGGTTGACATCGGTATCCCTGACCCGACTGGCCGTCTCGAGATCCTCCGCATCCACACGAAGAACATGAAGCTCGCAGACGACGTTGACCTTGAGCAGGTTTGTCTTCACAATATTGGCTGAGTACGCTGGTTCTCATCTCTCTTCGTCCAGATCGCCGCCGACACGCACGGTTACGTCGGTTCCGATCTTGCTTCGCTGTGCTCTGAGGCCGCGATGCAGCAGATCCGCGAGAAGATGGACCTCATCGACCTTGAGGAAGACACCATTGACGCGGAGGTGCTGGACTCGCTCGGCGTCACGATGGAGAACTTCCGCTTCGCTCTCGGCGCTTCGAACCCGTCTGCGCTCCGCGAGACCGTGGTCGAGGTTCCCACGACCAAATGGGAGGACATTGGTGGTCTCGAGAAGGTCAAGCTCGAGCTCAAGGAGACCGTGCAGTACCCTGTCGAGCACCCGGAGAAGTTCCTCAAGTACGGCATGTCGCCGTCAAAGGGCGTTCTCTTCTACGGCCCACCCGGTACTGGTAAGACGTTGCTCGCCAAGGCAGTCGCCACCGAGACCCAAGCAAACTTCATCTCAATCAAGGGCCCCGAACTGCTCACGATGTGGTTCGGTGAGTCCGAGGCAAACGTTCGCGACGTTTTCGACAAGGCGCGCGCAGCAGCACCTTGCGTCATGTTCTTCGATGAGCTTGACTCGATCGCGAAGGCGCGTGGTGGCGGTGGAGGCGGCGACGCCGGTGGCGCTGGCGACCGTGTGCTGAACCAGATCCTCACGGAGATGGACGGTATGAATGCCAAGAAGAACGTCTTCATCATTGGTGCGACGAACAGGCCCGACCAGATTGACCCCGCATTGCTCCGTCCCGGTCGTCTCGACCAGCTCATCTACATTCCGCTTCCCGACGAGCCCTCGCGCTTGGCCATTCTCGAGGCCGCCCTGCGCAAGTCGCCGATCGACCCGTCCGTTGACCTTGGCTTCCTCGCGAAGAACACGCACGGCTTCTCCGGTGCCGATTTGACGGAGATCTGTCAGCGTGCTGCAAAGCTCGCCATCAGGGAGTCTATCGAGGCGGACATTCGTGCTGCGCGCGAGCGCAAGGAGAAAGAGGACGCCGGCGAGGGTGCTGCGATGGAGGAGGACGAGACGGATCCCGTGCCCGTCATCTCGCGCGCGCACTTCGAGGAGGCGATGCGCTACGCCCGCCGCTCCGTCTCTGACGGCGATATCCGCCGGTACGAGATGTTCGCCCAGACGCTCCAGCAAAGCCGCTCGTTCGGAAGCTCGTTCAAGTTCCCGGAGACCGATGGTGTGCCACCTGCGGGCGCGCCTGGCGCTGCGCCTGCCATTGGCAACGCTGGATTTGACGAGGAGGCTGCCGACGATGATTTGTATGCATGAGCGTTGTGTCTGGCTGACTGATTGTGCATTGTTTTTGTGATTGTTCAACCATTTTTTGTATTCATACGTACGACTAGAATCCGAAGGAGCAGATTGTGTGCATTATCGAAGTCTGAGTGTGATCGTGGATGTGCGAAGTCGTCGACATTCAGTGATTAGCAGACTATGTTACTGCTTGGTGCCTCATCGAATATACTTACTGATACTCGAACATGGATGTTCCTCAAGCCTGCTATCGCCGAGGTAGGATGTCTCTGTATAATCTATGCCGACGGCCGTCGGCCAGGTCTGCCCGACGCTTCGAAACTGTCAACGGCGACGGCGACCCTGCGCCGTAGACCTAGGGGCACTACGTCTATTCCATCGTTGCACCGTGCCATGATCTCCGATATGGCACGCGCTTTTGACCTTGTACTGCTGACTATTTCCCGCAATTCCTTTTCGGTCCATGGTCGGAATGGCGACACCGAGACGTGCGCGCCGGTAAATCACTAATGCATCTCTTTGGCTATGGGACGACTTTCGGTTTCGAGTTGTCTGCCGGCGAGACGCGTATGTCTTGCATCATACGGTGGGTGCTCAACAATACGTCGTATAGTAT